CCCCAAAACCCCAAAACCCCAAAACCCCAAAACCCCGTAAGACTAAAATAATTAGATAAATCTTGAATGAAGGAGTGATGAAATAAATATTAAGATAATTCATATATTGCTGTTTGCCTTAGATATTTATGGTAGCAATGAATTATAGTGCTTGTTATTAACTATTTTAATCTGAGTCTTACTTTGAATAGGCTGATTACCATTGTTGTTATACATTGACTAGTTGAAGTTAGAACCTCCAATCATAAATTATTGACTCATTAGCTACTGTGGTGGCTGTACGTTAATCTGAAACTGAACATTCTTTTATACACTTGTGTTATAAGATTCATTTCTTTAAATAATTTGGCTATTCATTACTTAAGTATTTGAGTTTCTAGACTTCTCACTATGCTCTTAAGCAGGTAGTTAGGAAGTGTCTAGCTTGTAAAGTTGATTTTTAGGATTGATCTTGGTTTTGCTTCTATATCTATTCTATTAAGTAGGATCAAGGGTGATGTTTAGATCCTAATCAAGTTTTGCCTTCTTATTTATAAAACTTTTCTTAATGCTTTAAGAGCTATGATCTCTAGCACTACCCATAAGGAAGGATTAGGAAGCCTTAAAAGTTGCTCCTGATTTATCTAAGGTACTTTTGGAGATTAATGAATTATAGTTATGCGCTTTATCCTTATCATAAACTGATATATCTTGTGCTTAATCAATATTATCTTAACTTCTATTAAGTATCTCTTGTTTGCTTAATTAATCTTTGGAGATAAGATCTACATCAGATTATGTATAAAGCTAGAACTATTTAGCTTGGCTAGTATTATTTATATCTGTGCTTAGATTAAACCCACTCTGAGATTCAGTATAAAACTGATACATGTCTGTGAATATTTTCTAAGGCATAATGCTCTTAAACATTGTAGTCTTTCTCATACTCTCTGTTATCTTATCTAGCAGTACTTATCTCATTTCTAATATCTAGGTCCTACTAATAACATAACCTCTGTAATTCAAAGTAGTGAAAAGATCCACATTACTAATATTAATATTCTATTGAGCCAACTGTTTGCTAATATTGTTTGACGAGTAGCTCAATTTTTCCATTTCCTTTTGAGAGCTATCAATTAAAGATTTACTCTTTTCATTATTAATTATAGCTCCTTAAGTAGGAACTTATTGATGTAATAAGGTTTACTTCTTGATAACTTTGAACATGCTATGCTATAAATCAATTATGTCTGCTTTCATTGAGTTTATGTTATCTTAGAGCTGTCTAAAGTATTCTACGTACTAGCCTTTTTCTTTTTCATATTAGGAGTCTATCAGATTTTCTAGATTAATAAATTCAGATGCACAAGATAGAATCATGCAGTTTTTATCTAATGTAGACTTTACGATATTGAGTTACTAATTGGCTTCTTTCACATTGTCATACAATGCCCTTACTTCATTTCGCTATTAAAAATAACTCAAATATAAAACATACTTGATCTTATCTATCTTTCTTTTATTTATTAGTGTAGTCAGAGAATTCAGAATGGATGGATTGTATAAACTAATTGATTTCATTTATTGAGTTTTGTACTATATTCTGATACTTTTACAACTTAGCATCTGCCTCACTTATTACCTCTTCCTTGAAGTATTCTTATCTTTTGTAGTTTAAGTTCTATCTGTAAAGTAATCTATATATGATAGTTTAAAAACTTTGAATTTTTACATCTTAAAGAGCTTGATGATATTTTATTGATTTAATAGAGTGTCTTCATCCATGTCAACTACCTTATATGGAAGCTCAATCAGCTATTTCAGAGATATATCATCTGATTGATCCATCTAGACCAGCAAATTAAACATGTCCTTTTTGTATTGCTCTTGAAGCCTCTTTTCTTCCAGATCAAGTAGACGCTACTCCTCAGCTTCATCCACTAATTTAGAATTTTATTCATCTTTAAGCTACTGAGCAAAGTAATTTTCATTTTAATCTTCCTCATTTTCACTTGGTTCTTGTTCCTAAATTACTTTGATAGCCTTAGTTCTATTGTTTGATCTATCTCTAGATTCTGGTTTGCTATTATAATTTGACTCGGGTCCTAAAGCTTCGCTTATTTACTATTTTAATGGGGATTGTCTGTCACTTCTTCCTTCAGCACTTCCCATAGATTAGGCACCTTAACTTATTTACTTCTAATGATTGACAGCTTTATTCTTTCCACCAAGTTTTACCATCTTATTTTTTTCCTTTTCTTACTCTTTAACTATCTCTTTTAGGATCTCCTTCATTATCTCTTACAAATTTGCACTTCCATCATCTTCCAAAATCACTAGATTAAGTTGCTGAAACTTTTCCATTTCAAAATTCTCTAATTTATTCATTTGTGATCGGTTTAAAATACAAGCTAGAGTTTCACTGATCTATGATTGAATCCTGATTGGAATATACTTCTCCACGAAGTTCTCTACTGTATTGAACTAGTTAGTCTTCTCATCCAATTCTCTCTGCATCTTATGAATCTCCTCCCACATTTTATCCTTGATTTCCTCCATTATTGATTTATCTTGCTTAAGTTCATAAAGAAGAGTAAGTTCTTTCTAGCATTTTTAGATATTTTCAGCAAATACATCTGATCGACTCTAGAGCTCTCTGACATAGTTAGAGTTTGACATTGACTTTGAAGTCGTCAAACTTAAATTTAGTTCTTGATTAGATAAATTGTTCCTAAGATCTTCTATCGAGAGCAATAGATTTGCATAGTTTTCTTTTAGTTTATTGATAAAATCCTCTTTCGTTTCATCATTTTAGACTTAAATTCTTCTTATTTCTTGATATATCATGTCCTTATTTTACTCTAGTGAGCCTACAGCTCTTTTCATATTATCTATTTCAAATAGCCAATCTTCTCTTTGCTTGTTAATATCCTCAATAGCATACCAAAGCCTAGCATCATTTTCAGCTCTAACTCTTTCATTCTCAGCTATCTTTTGGTCGATTTCCTCAAATACATTTAACTTTTAATTCTTCTTGAATACAGAGTATTCAAGATCCTTTATCTGATTTTACATTTCATAAATATTTTTATGCTGTTTTTATAACTCCTCCTTTTATTAATGTAATCTCATGATGGTAGGTTATAGAATTTCTGCTATAAGTTGTCTTGACTTTGTTTGAATATCAAACCAATCCAAATCAAATACTAAAGAATTGAATATTAAATCCTTGACTTACTTTTTTTGAATTCCTCTATTTTGTTTTTAGGTTCTATCTCCTCTATTTATTTTCAATCAACTTTATTTGGATCTATAGAATCATATGTAAGTAAGGGCTAATCAATTGGCTTCTGGGCTATTTGATTTTAACTGCTCTATTAGAGAGTTTCAGTATTGTTCTATTTAACTTAGTCATTCTATTACAATATGTCAGTAGGCTGATTAATGCTTGCATTCTCTATATTCTAGCTTGATTCTTTTTATTCCAGCTATGCTTGATCCATCTCTAAATTATATTTTTTAATTAATTTTATAACTGATTAATTATCTAACCTTTCTATATATTCCTGCTCATATTTACTTTGAGGGGTTTTGGGGTTTTGGGG